TATATATATATATATATATATACATATATGTGTGTGTGTGTGTGTGCTTAAATAGAAAAAATTATTTACACTTATACTTAAACTGTATTACTGTTTTGGTGTTTTTAATGCTACAATGCTATATTTAGATTTTATTCTAAGTGTATTTAAAATGTTTTACTTTGAGCTTTAATTCAATATACAGAATATTTTGATTATAATGAAACTTGAACCGAAATAGATTATAAATATCTTGATAAGAACTACAAACAGTTAATATATTTCAACTACTTTATTGTGCGCTCAAATTAGATTAATTAAAATACACTTTAAATGCCTCAAAGGTATTTCTATATAAAAAAAAAAATTAACTAAAACAATATTTGGTGCGATGGAAAAATGTTTTGAACTTTAAGTGCTTTTTGCTTAACTCAGTTTAAACAAAAAGAGCTATTATTACCAAATCAAACTTAACAGTACCTGGTTCAAGTAAATGCCTTTAAGGAAAAAAAGGCTAAAAATTTTACTTTTTCATTGTCAGTGCAGAACAACCTGAACTATTTAAGACCAAGACCTGTTAATCCCTAGAAAGAAGCAGCAAACTTTCTCCTCTCTTGTTTATGGTGATGTTAATTCATGTGCTGATAATATAGGATAGATAAGAACAATATGCCCTTTCACAAACTCATAGACCTTGAAAAGTAGGACATTTCTGAGTCTTTTCTCACCGCAGTTTGAAGGAGCAGCTGACTGACGGGTTGTTACTAAGCACATAATTAAAAATAAACGCCCTTGACTCATTCTGTCTGCTCGTTGTTGGAGCCGAACGCGGAGCTTCTTGGGTAAAACATTGAAGGTGTGCAAATGGTGGCGCTTCAGTTAATGTTTGTTTTTGTTTCTAAAGCTAAAGTCAGATACTAAGAAAAACCTTTATTAAATAGATTTTGTTGAGAAGAAAACACGTAAAGTTAGTTTGGGTTCAGATCTGCACATAAAGTGAGGCGGAAAGAAAAGTGCAGTCAGAACAAGGTCCTTGAAGGAGGGAATCTAATCAGGGACAGGACCTGCTCTTAGCAGCAGCATCAATGCAGCGTTTATCAAAAACAGGAACGGAGGAGGAAAAAAAAATAACACTGTGGATGCTACATGTGGGCTGAGTAAGAATTAAACTCAAGAGAGCATCATATTAGCACTTTGATAATGCAAAGCGTATCTTTCTTCTTCAGAGTATGTGACCTCGATCAAACCAGAGCCGGTGTGCGTGTGAATAAAAGGAGGGTGATGGTTTACACCAGGCCAGGCTGTTGCAGCAGACAGACGTGCAGCTCTACTGACGCCAACAAACAAGGAATTTTATATCTGAGCCTGGAGGCAAACTGCCGACATATATTGCGCAAAGACACCAAATCATATAAGAAGCTGTGCTTAGAGCTTCTATATTCTCAGGGCAAAATAAAAGCATTTATCTAAGTATGAGCAACCTTTCTGCAGAGGGATTTAAAGCTGCAAAATGGTTGTGGAATGCATGTCAAAATTTCCTCATATTGTTAATATTCAACCACATTTTCGGCTTTATGTTGTTGGTTAAATAATTCAGTCTGAAATAGCAACCATTAAGATGTTTATTACTGTACTTCTGATTGGATTTAACCTGATGGCAGTTGCTCTGATTCTCTATCATTTATGGATGCTGCAACTGAATATTTAGTTCAAATTCTCTCTGCGCTTTCATAGGTCGTCAGAGGTCTGCAACCTTTCATACCAGAGTCTGGCTAAGTATAAGTCGTTTAGAGCCACAAAATGTTACACGATGTTACCAGCTATTATTTTTGATAAATACCTGCCATAGGATTTATGTATCTCTCTTGAACAATCAACAGTTTAGTTTCATTTCTGGCTTTTAGCAAAATGAAAACAGAAAACATTTCTGTCATGATCTGCTGATTGCTGACCTAATTTTTTATTTCACTCAACTTCCTAACTCTGCCTGGTTTCTAATCATCGCTCATCTTATGCACCTGCATCTGCTGGTTTATATTCAGCTCAGGCCAGCTATTGGAGCCAGATCTTTGATGTATAATGCATGTTCGTTAGTTTGAGTTTTTTTGCCATGTTCAAGTTTTCATTCTCAGAGGCCAGTGGTTTGAGAGGGTATTTATTCTTGTCCTGTGTTTCCTGATGTTATCCTGGCTCTTCTCCACTGAGTGCACCCTGTTCCTGTTTTGGCTCAACAGGGGGGAGCTAGTTTAAAGTCCCACAGTTCTCCTGGTACCATGTCTTGTCTCTTCCTCTCTAGCACTGAGCCCATCTGTCTCCATTTGAGCGTGTAGCCTGCTGGACTCATGAAGCTCTGAACCTGCCTGAACGCTCTGTGGATTCCTAAAATGCTGGATCTGTGTTTTCTTGTTGAGATCGGAACCCTTGGTCTGGCTACGGGCTCCTTGATCTCAGATCTGTCCTTTTCTGATCTGTTTCCCCTGACCTGGCTCGGACTCCTGCCTGTTCATCAGAGGCTGCTGCAAACGGGGACACCCTGGGTGGCTCTGCGCCGCATCTCGTTGGCAGTGCATCGGCTGGATCCTGCCTCACCCGTACGGATGGACTGAACTGTTAGACCAGAGTGTCAGTAATGGGTTGCACCCCGCCTCCCCCTGCAGCCAATGCGTATCCGCAGTTCCACAGCAGCACGCGTTCTATATTCAGTTCTGTGTTAATTTATTCAACGTTTTGAAACTTCCCACTGTCTGTCTCGCCTGAATACTGAGTCCATCTACCCCGTATATGAAAAATTCATAAAGCTGAAGCATTGATTTTCTTCTATAGGGTATCATTTGGTTAAAAACTAAAATGATAGAAGTAAACATCACTTCCAAGCTACTTAAAGCTCTAAAAACATATCTCTGGTGCTTTTAATGTCATTTGTCATGAAAATTCAATTTAAATAGTCTTTATAAAAACCACAAAGCTTTTAAGACTAGTATTTGTTCTTATAGTACATGAATTAGTTCTTTATTTCGCTTTTAGCCACTGATAAGAGCCATTGTGGAGGGATCAAAGGACCAGATTCGGCTCTGGAGCCGCAGGTTACAGACCCCTGGGTAAGACTATAAAGACCTTCTTCTCCCTGTCAAGCATTTCTTTGAATTTCCTTTTCCCAAACCTTTAATTTCCCCAGAGGCTGGAAAAAGAGTAATTTAGTTGACGGTAATCTATAAGACTTCTAGGAAAGCCTCAGTTCTTCAGGGAAAAGTTTAAACATTTAAGCTTTTATTTTATATTTCAGGGCACTGATGGATTTCTCTGGGTTTTTTCCATGTTTCCTTCAAAGTCCAAAAAAATATTTACAGTGTGACAATTGGGATGTTTTGTTTTTTTCTATAGTTTTTATGTGGGAGCGGATTAAATTGGATAAAAATGCTCTGAGCTGTGTGGTGCGACAGGTGTGCAGCTGCTGGCTGTTTTAGGACCAACGCAGAGCAACCAGACAAAAGGGCTTTAAAGATGATGAACTGTAGACATTCCAAAGGAAATTTGTCTCTGTGGTTCCCTAAGACTCACATTAAAAACTGTTCCTCTGGGGGAGCGAAAATATGTTTTTCATTATTTTGTTTGGTTACAAGGATAGGTAAGTGTTGCTGCAGAGACTCCAGTGACACTAAACAGAAGATATCCTTTTTTGGGCACAGAAACTCTGGTAATAAAATCCTTGGACCTATCAGGACAGAACCAAGTTATTATTAACTTCTCGCTTCACCCAAAACTTTCCTTTTTTTCCTAAACCTCCATTCGTGTAACTGAGCAAAAGGTCGACTCTTCATCACAGACTTAGTGTCCAACTCACCTTTTGCGGGGCATTGATGACACCTGTGTTGTATCCGAACTGCAAGGAGCCAATCACAGCGGTTCCAACACTCATCAACAACGGGAACGTTATTTTCTGCAAAACAAAACACAAAGCAGAGGTTTTGGTGTTCAGTAAGGTCAGTTCATCCAGTTACACGACGTTTATTAGCAGGCTAAACAAACAGTCATTATTCCAAATAATGAATACATTTATAAGATCAAATTAGTATCTATCGCAGTTTTACTTGCTGAATTTAAATATATAAAGAGAATAGAGCAAAGTAGTTTAAAGATGATATACAAAAATAGACCATTTTGAGGATCTGTTTAAAAATAAAACACCAGAAAAGCTTGGCTAAAAATGTACAAAGTCTTTTTAAATAACTTAGAACTTTTTAATTTCCTTTCTTTCAAAAACAGCTGCACTATGTTAACAGGGAAGACATATTTCCTGCACTACCTGTACCTTTTTACTAAGCATTCAAAGATTTCTCATAATATTTTGGTCATTTTATTTCTTTTTTGAAAGGTAACATGTTTGGGAAGTTGTTTGCAATTATTCAATTTATATTTAACTTCCTAATGATAAAAAAAAATGTGTTTCAGATCCACATCTATAATCCACATCTATAAAAGAAAAAAACATTTTTCAAACTGTAAAAAAGATAAGCATTTTTAATTGGTTGTTTTAGCCTTAAGACATATTTGAGCTAAATGAAAAAACAACATTTTTGTTGAGGCTTTCGACTTGTGCAGAAAGAAGGTAACAATCACAGAGAGCGGCTGGAGATATTTCCTAAAAACTGAGTTTCTTTCTTTTAGGGTGGAGCCAAACTTTACTAAACCTCATTCAGCCTGCTAACAGGCAGTGCACAGCAAAAGGTGAAGAGAGCTTTGGAAAGCATATTGTTATAAAAAAAAAAAGCTATAAACCACTCAATGTTTTGAGACTTTAACTTCTCATAGCTTGATACCGATAACCACCTCATCCATAGCTCTAATAACATGCAATCTCTATGTATTATTTTTTTTTACTTTTAAGCTATTTGACCACATTAGATTCCATGTTTTTATCCTTACTGTCGCTGAGCTCTGGGCAGGGTTTTGACTTTCATCCAGGTAAGCCTGTCTGATGAAAAAAGTCCAGGTTTCACCCATGTCTTCTGATTATGTATTTAGGGAGCTTATTTTCAATTTAAGCTCAGCAGAGCCTTGTGGATTAGGAAAGATCTTCCGCATACCAAGAAGTTAATAAATCAATGTGTGTATGTGACTGTCCTTTTTACTCCTGTCTTACAAGGAAACAATAAAACCACAAACCTTTTGGTTTGGATTAAAAAACTCAAGATAAACTGCAAGAAATGTAAAAGACTTTTTCCTAAGTTTCCAAAAAAACTCTTTATACATAGGAACATTGCCTCAACTGATGCTATACTTAGTTTCAGAACTTCAAGATCTTGGAATCACTTTTTTTTGGCTGTTTGGAGTAACACGGTCTTGCTGCTCTCCTACCGGTTGTTGTTGACTGTAAGCCAGATGTCTGGCTTTTGTTTTGCTAAAATAAATACATATCCAGCTGATTGGGACAAAAACTAAACTAAACGAGCACCATGCATCAGTCCTATCAAGATGACTATTTTATAACTGCATACAACAGGCCGTCTGTTCAGCAGCGTGCTGCAGGCTTGCTGCCTGATCAGATTACAGACCAGCACTGAACCAGCTGATATCAGCCTATTACATTGATGTTCCTTATAAAATTGCAGTAAAACCAAAAATAATACATTCTTTAATAAAAGCACTGGAAAAATATCATTAATTTATATTTTTTTCTATGTTTTTATCCAAACTTGAGACTATCACTTGATCATTATAAATAAGGAATATCCTTGACTATTTAGTGGCACAGTAAGTGTTGCTGTGAGATTGTTTTTATATATTATTTATAGCAATATTACCTAAAGTTATCCAACTCTAAAGGTTTCCAAGTCTACTTCTTTTCTAACTTACTTTGAGGTTGTCTAGTGTGGGAATGTTATTGTAGTCTATAAGGTCAGGGCTCTGTTTCTGTGATTTATACTGGTTACCTTCCTTATATTCTGGAAACAAATGATAATCACATGCCTAGAATGTTACCTTAGAGCATTTTTTATACTTAAGAAGACATAACTTAATATTAAGCAGTAGCCTTAAACAGTTTGATTAAAAAAAAAGGAAGAAGCGCTCCCAGAGGTTATAAATGTTGAAGCGCTAAAGTCCAAAAAGCAGTTTGATCAGTGTCACGTGCGTCTGTCTGGGGTATATAAAACTACTTTTGTGACAACATCTTCCTTTAAAAGTTTGGAAACCATGACTGTAATGAATGTTCTACCGGTACATTCAAAGATGACTAAGTTGGTTTTATAGGAATAAAACTTTACCAAGAAAATACTCCTCACACCATTACAGAAGTCTATAATCATAATTGATGGTTACGTTTTATGCAACCCACACTTTTGTTGAGCCCATGTTCACGTTGTGCAGTGGGGGTTCAATTGTTGACAAATGTGTGTTAAAGTACAGTGTTGAAAGCCAATACACAAGCTAAAGTGCCCCCTTTGGGAGCACAAATGCATCCTAAAGTACCCCCTTGGAAGCCCGCCAAAGAATATGCTAAAGTCCTCCTTGGGAACCAAAATGCACCCTAAAGTGCCCCCTTGGGAGCAAAAATGTGTGCTAAACTCACCCCTTGGAAGCCAGCACCTGTGCTAAAGTACCACCTTGAAAGCCCAAGGCATGCTATAGTCCCTCCTTAGAGCCAAAACGAAAAGAACTTGTCTACCACAATGTTGTTAGCTTTAATACTCTTCATTTTGGATCAGTTTCACTTTTAGGACCAATACCGATATTAAAAAAAAAAAATAACAAAGGCTGATACTGATGTTAAGGCTGCTATATCTCTTATTCCTATTTTAAACACTATGGGGCTATTAAGGTAACAAACAGAAGCAGAGAAAAACTCTAAAATAATTGGAAAAGAGGCAAACTAAAATGTTGTTTCTTTTCTTTTATCATTAGGAAAAAGGGTCGAGGCCAGTATGTTTGCTCTGGTTAACAGTCAGCTTTTTATTTAGCAAAGCGGTAGTGGTCTACTGATCTAAAAACAAACCTGTCAGTTTATCAACAGTTTCAGGAAGCAAAGTGAATTCACCGATATTTATATGTTTATATTCACAAACAAATGATCACTTTGGTTCTTCTGAAATCTAATGTTTGGATTTTATATACCAAGATTTGGTTAAAGAAACCTCTCCGCTTTTCATTCAAAAAACAGCCATGAGAAACTATTTTTGAAGATGAACTGCTCTGTGCTCCTCTGAGATATTGTGAAAGTGCGTACCACTTCTTTCAAATGTGACAGAGGTCCTGGTAGTTCTGAAGCTACTTTCTTGTCCCCGAGAAAGGATGAATAAAAAGAAAACCTGTGTGGGTTATTTGTTCAGAAACCGTCACTGCAGAACTGCTTCCTGTAAAAGACTCTTATAGACCTAACCTAACTTTCTTCAATAGGATCTCCTGTTCCTCAGGTCATTGGGTTTGTAACACTGTTGCAGAGTTCTCTCTATATATATATATATATATATATATATAAGTAAACATACACACTGAATCTATTTAGCCCTCTGGGTTGGGGATTTAAATGGGGGCTTGAAGTAAATTAGGAAAACTACATTCTGATACCAAAGATATACTCCAAACAAGAACTACAGGAGCTTTCAGAGAGCTACCAGCTGCTTTTTACTGTCAACAATGAAATCCTGTTGATGCCTCTGGGAAAAGTCAGAAGGACAGTCTATTTAAATCTCACCTCCCTTTAGGGACCAGATGTACTTGTCTACAAAAATTATATATATATATATTTTAAAGTCCTTCAATATGTATGGATAAATGTCAGTGAAACACAGAGTAAACTTTTTAAAAGAAATTTATATTTCAACAGTTCAAACAGAGACAGAGTTTAGCTTTGTTTGCAAACCCCTCCTTCTCTACAGTACAAGGTTAGAGGTTTTATTCTTCCTTGAACTGATAATAAACAACACCAACATACTTTACTTCCTTACCAAGTTACACCCATTAAAACTATTTTACTATGGAAGCGTCTAACCCCCCCCCATTGCCAATCCCTCTCTCCTTAGCTTCGCCTCTCAGACCCCTGTGACGTCCCCAGCGTGTGTAAATGCACCAGGAGCTTTTTCAGATGTGTTTACATTCCAAAAGAAATAGCTTTTAAAGGCCTTGCCAACCATTCAAGAGTTTGATTACGAATAAAGTTTATCAAAGTCCTCGATGGATCCTTGCATGCAAATGTTTCCTGTTTGCATGTGAAGGATTAGGCAGAACACTACTCTGCATCCAGCTCATTTCTGTCCAGTCATGGCTGCAATGAGCGAAACACAGAGCAAGTTAGCAAAATAAATCCAGTGACATTGATGAGCAGAAGAAGCAGAGCTGAGGAACCAGACATGGCCATCCGTTCTTCAGTCACGTAGACCCACAGGATTACCTTCAGTTAATGAAACAATAAAACTTTAACAGGAAATGAAGCAGAGCAGCAGTCCAGCCCCAAATTTGGACATGTTTAACCACAACCTCTGATAGAAACCAGGTTTCTCACTTTCCATGATTCATTACAGAAAGGCCACCTGTAGGAATCTGGATTTTCATGCACAGAGATCTTATTGTGAATCCTTTTCTCCTACTCGGTGATTCTTTTTGCAGTTCTATATTTCTCTCTATCCTGAGAGACAGACAAGACCAAAGAAGGGAAATGCAGCCCAGGCTCTGAGAAGCCAGCCAGCTGAGGCAGAGGTGACGTCAGTTCAAGTTAATTTAGTCAAGAAAATTAGCGTTTCGCCACAAAAGAGGCAAAAACAGGAAACCAACAGATGTTTTCAAGGTCCCATAAGCTGCATTTGAAAATATTAACTTGTATCAATGTAAAAAAAAAAGGAAACATCAATTTTCTATCAAACTTGTTGTGTTTTATCTCAAAAGTCCCACCTATTAAAACAAAAAAGCAGAGGGTGTTAAGCTTTTACTTTAACATTCATGGTT